GCTTCTTCGATAATTGCTCTTCCAAGACTTAACTTATACACGTAGATCCAAAAATTTTCGATGCTAAGAACATACAACAATGAATATTTGATTCCCTCGCGAATGTTACGTCTTTAGCATGTCAGTTTGCGCTAAGAGGACGTCAGTTTCGTTCGAGAAAATATTTGTTGTCCGTATGATTAAATTAAATTTGTTCTTAAAAAATAATTGCTTTTTTCAGAGGTAAAATTATTTTTGTTCATAACACGTTCAGGAAGAAATTATTATTAGTTTTTTTTTCATTTTTATTATAATAATGAAGACTCTTTAACTTCAATAAATTTATTTTATGGTTAGAGGGATTTTTAGTTTATTCTAAGGTTAAATACTTACGTTAACATAAAAACTTCTTACAAAGTAAATATAAGAAAGAATGTGAAAAATATACGTCCGGAAATTTTTATAAGTAAACTAAATAAATAGCATAAATATCATAAATTCATCTCATGATTAAACACCTTATATTTTCATGGCTAAATACTTACGTTAACATTAAAACTTATAACGAAGTAGATATAAGAAAGAATGTGAGAATTATACGTTCCGCAAATTTTTATAAGCAAGTTTTACAAATTTCTATGATTCTTGTTATATTGTACTTTGCAATAACGTTTATCTTATATTTGACTTAATCACTCAAATTATCTCTTAAAGAAAACAAACAATAAATGCAAAACGATAGATAAAATAAATTTCTTTTTTATTTATAAGGCTAAAACAAAAGAATTATGATTTAGTATAGTTTTATAATTGTATAAGAATTCATAATTTTTTTGTAATTTTGAGAAAGAAAAATCATTGGAATTGCAGACGAAGTGTTTATTGATTATCTCTACGATGTTGCAGTTATTTATTATTAAAATATCATTTATATTTAAATACTTTGTATTAATATTATACAATAATTTATAAATAATCATTAATAAAGACTCATTTATAAATAATATTATAAAATTCATATATATACTAATTCAAAATTATCATTTATTTAAAATACTGACCCAATAAATAAATAATTGCTAGAAATATTATCTTAAAAAAAAGATAATAATAGTGCAATATTTATATATAAAAAAAACACAGATAATTCGATTACTGATGAGTCGAAATACGAACAAACAATCTAACCAGGAACTTAATTAACCTATTTGCATCATTGCGCGGAATATTGCACGAGCCGCGACTGTCTACTATCACCAAGAGCGGAATAATCCGCGAACCCGGGACTGTCCACTATTACCGAGCGCGGAATAATCCGCATAAGAAGCATTGGTTTTTATACCTGTGAGCATTTGACCGGTGACACCGGTCAGTTGTAAGTTTTATTTATGTCTCCAGTTTTATTTTTACGTAGCACCAATAAGTAGATTTCGTAACAATAAATCCTAACGAGAATCGATTGGTTAAAATTCACCAAGACCTTTTTTCTATCTTTCTTTCTCTCTCTCTCTCTCTCTCTCTCTCTCTCTCTTTCTCTTTCTCTCTCTCTCCCTTATATCTTGTTAATTTTTTACTTCATACAGGTGCAAGTAACTTTCTATTATATATACATCAACCCCTATAACCAGAAGTATTTACACCAATATACTATATAAATTAGGTAGATTAGTTTTTTTCTAACTAAGTTTTTTTCGGATCACTAAAGTGGCACAAAGTTTTTTCTCTCACATTGATCTTTATGGCTTCTTTCCAATACATTGTCTGACTTTACGAGCTTTCAAAACTTCTCCGATCATATAAGGTAGCAAGTAGCACGCGAGTTTGTGCGCTAAAAAGAATTTTCAACGAGACTTCGTTTCAAGTGAACACCCAAACTTGGATGACACTTTTTGCAAGCTTTTTTTACAATTTTCCTTTCCTTTTATTTTCTTTTTTAAAGAGAAAACTTCTTTAGAATAGGGAGTGATTTGAAAAAATGAAACACGGCAGCGATGCAGCGATTCAATGCAGCGGCCACGATACTCAGTAAGAAGAAAAAAAAGAGACAAATATTGTTGCGTACTGGTGCCTTGATCAGTACTATGGCATTTATTCTATCGTAAGAAGGAGTTAAAGGGATGAGGGTTGTGAATCAATTGTTGTTATTTAACGTTTTAATAAATTGGGGGGGGGCGCTTTCGCGCCCCTGGTTGTATGAGTTATTTCTTATTAATGCAAATACAACGCTAATGCATGTATACTGCTTCTGGAACTGATAAATGCAAATATAACGCTGTTGCGCATATATCGCGACTGGAACTACTAGAACTGATGAGTGCGAATATAAAGCTGGTGCGTATATATCGCAACTGGAACTACTGGAACTGATGAATGCGAATATAACGCTGGTGCGTATATATCGCGACTGGAACTGATGAAGGCGATACGCTGATGCGTATATACCGCCGCTGCTGTTGCTGCTGTGGGTATACCGACAATGCGTGTATACCGCTGCTGCCACCGCCGCCGCTGCGTATATTTCGCTAATGCGTATATACCGCTGCCGTCGGTTCTACCACTGCTTCTCCTTCTTCACGGTCTTATTCTTCTTCTTATAAGGACGTAATGTGAATCGTGAGTTATATCGAAGTGCCAGGCTTGGATTCTTGCGCTCTTTTATACCCAGAATTGGTTTTCGGACATCCCTTCCCCAACTTGATTGACCAATAGGAGCAGAGTTCCCCCACTCCACTATGTCCTCCAATGAAAGGACTTGTGTTTCAGTGAGGATTAAAGAAGTACAAGAATAGGTAAAGCACCCACTGTGCCTCGATGCTTTGTCGAACCAATGTTATTCACATAGTTCTTCTAGAATATTTTTTTATATTCGGATCGAGTTTTACAGTTCGACAATGTGCTAGAAATATGTTATATAATGTACGCTCTTAGATTAGAGTAAGTGCTACAATCTAAACGTAAAACGGTTAAGTGGCTTAATATATTTGTAAAAATGTATTCATGTACACACTATTATTATTATTTTTCAATAAAAATTTATAAAAAATAAAAAATAAAAAGTAACCGATAGATCGCTGGATCAAATCTCATTGGGTTGACTTCTTATTTATATTTTTTCTTTTCTCTATTTTTGTACAGTAAATTGTATTATTTTTATTGAAAATATAATAGCAAATATGGTGTATTTTTTTTTACCAAACGTGTCATATCTTTTCTATTTAANCCGCCAACAGCATACCTACTTTTGACGGGTTCACGTTTGTCAGCCATTTTGGATGTCAAAAAACGTTAAAAACAATAAAAAAAAATTTTTTTCTTGTACTTCTAAAGTGTATTTATTATACCCAACAACTTTCATATGTATATGTATCCTACAAAGCCTAAAAAAAATCGTGAAAATAGCCTTTTTTTCGGCGTATAAACCAGAATGAACCCTTAAGTTGAGGTAGTTAAGTCGAGAGAGTTTAAGTCGTTACGAGAGGTGAGAGGGAACGTAAACGAAGCGGACGAGAGGTGAGATCTTTCCATTATATTCATTTCACGTTGACGGTAATTTCCCGCGTGGTAACGCCACGTGGTGGATTCTCATTATTATACTCTAATATCATCCAGGATTTTTATGCCGCAAGGTTTTTCCTTGACGAGCCAATAAAGCATTGTATCTTTGTTTGACTCAACCACATGTTTGATTAATTTTATTCTAATTCTTCTTTCCTCATCCCTAGCAACTAATTGCCAGAGAACTCCTAATCGAGAAATCTAGGCCACAACATCGACCAACCAGTCTTTTTTCTACATTATCCAAATTATTTGAAAAAATGCTAATTAATCGTTTCTTCGAAGCACTAGATGTCCCAGCGTTCCCTGAACATCAATTCAAGTTTCGAAAAAGCTATTCTTCAATTGAACAAATTAATTATGTAACTCGTCATATATCACAAGATCTTGAACAGAAAAAATGTTTTTTAACAGTATTCCTGGACATTAGATAAGCTTTCGATAAAGTATGGTACACATCTTTTTTACATGATCCTTAAATTTTACCTCACTAACAGAAAATTCATAGTCAAGTACCTAAACCAATTCACTATAGCCTTTCGTATTTTATCTGATGTCCCACAAGGCAGTGTACTTGGGCCATTATTATATGCAATTTACACAGCAGATGTGCACACCTCAAAGGAGATAACAACGACTACATTTGTGGATATTACAATTTTGTTAGTATCTGAGAGTGATCCTCAAAACACGACTGAAATTCTCCAATGTCATCTGCATATGCTAGAAAGAAGATGCCAAAAGTGGAATATTAATATTAGTGAAAATAAATCGGCGCATATAACCTTCACGTTACGTAAAGGCACATATCCTCCTGTGACCATAAATAGAGCAGTTATTCCAACCAAAGATTCGATCAAATACTTAGGTATGATACTGGTTAAAAGACTGAGACAACACATTCAATCCGCAACAATCTACCTAAAGGAAAGAGTATAAAAACTATATTAGCTCATTGGCAGAGCATCTAATGTAAGTTAAGTCTGCAAAAATTATATATAATTCTCGCCGAGAATTGATTATATATTCCTTTATTAAAATAAAAAAAATGAAAAAAGGAAATTATCGATAATCCATAGATGGATGTAAAGTTCAAAAGAAAAAAAAAATTTCATTCAACAAATACTTTGAGATCCAACTTGAATGAGTAATTAATTGTTATTATATTATGTTGTTTATAAATATGTGTACTGGTAATTGTAGTAGTGTATTAGGTCAAAAAATTGGAAATGTAATTTTAAGCTTTTTGTATAATTAAATTACTTACGTTATACTTGTAATACAATAAATTTAAAAAGTGAATACAACATATACAAGGATTGGGATGCTGGAAAAAAATGTGTATATAAAATATGAAAATAGTATGAGAATAATGAATAATGAAAAATTTTATCGAGAAATTTGATGTTTTCATATCTATGTAGATGTTCAAATCATTTTCATTGTAATTGTGACATTACTCTCACCTTAGAATACATTAAACTGAGAGGTAAACTCATGGCGATGCTGAGTAACCAGACAAAGATTATTTTCAAGATTACTCTTCTTCTCGTTTTATTCCGACCAAATTTCATGGGATAACGTAGGCTGAGATAACGGTCGACACTTATGGTGCACAGATGCATTATACTTGCCGTACAAAAAAGTACGTCCAGGCTAATCCAAGCAAGACAGTAGACTGCAGGTAATGGAAAATAACCTGAAATCATAAAGAAAAAGAAAAATTAGAACTTTTAAAAATACAAGTGTGATATAAGAGAGTTGAAATGTAATGAGAATTAAAAATTTTAAAAACCTGATAAGTAGATATTTATGGAAATTCTATATTTTTACAAACCTTTTATCCGACTTTTTAAATAAATACTCGGAATATTATATCGATTAAATACAAAAATTGTCATTATTTTAATTAAAATATTTATAAACATAATAATTGGTCAATATTGTCAATAAATTTAAAATATTTACAATAATTGCAGTAATTTTAATAATTACAATTTATACGGACCAAGTAAACGAAAATGCAAACAATTAACACCCAAATCGCTAAGTTAAACGAGCTGGAACGCTTTTTGAGATTTTAACAATTTTTATTATTAAATTTCATACAAGTGAAATACACCTCTTTTATTATATTATTATTATTACCGGCTCTTATTCGTGTTTTTATTTTTATTGTTTTACTTTTTACTTCTTTTTAAAACCATCGTGCAATGAAACGTGTCGCTTGAAATTACAATCGAAGATCGTTGGAAATCTTTTTACTACCTCTTAACACATACAAACACATCAATCTGCCATGCTCAATTTTCTATACCACTAGTAACGAGTATTGCATTCGTGCGTTTTTGAAAACAGGCATTCAACTATTGTCAGTAACGTATATTGACGGTTTATTTGGACTTTATATTTAATCCATTTTGACATCTCAACTTTTCTTTCAAGGTTTGTTCAAATACGTGCTTTTCACTTGAAACAAGTATCACCGTATACACTACCGACTAAAAACTTAATATCACTAAGTAATTTCGAAGAGACGAAGAAAAAAATGTATATCTTTGGAGTAACCGAGATAGATTTACATATCAAAAAGACTTATGAACGCAGAAGAATTTCCAGAAGGAGAAAATTTAGTATTCGAATATTCTAGCATTAGCATACACTTCTATCTTGGCATCCTGAACAATTAATTTTTCGAATATTTCTAATTGAATATTTGTCCATTCTTTTCGTCAAACCTAAGTTTCCAAATATGCCCCAATAGGAAAGTTCATTTTGAACATCACCTAAAACTTAATTTATTTTCAGAACCATACAGAAGTGTTGAAGTAAGAAAATACTAAGAATCTTTAAAAAATAATTAAATTTATTAATATTCGATATAATAGCAATAATCAATTTTTATTAAGATCTACGAAAGAATGATTTTAAACTTTTGTCGATTAGTGTATATAAATAAGTACATGTATATACAATATTTACACAGAGATCTACTAGTATCTACGATCTAATTTCTTTTCGTATTTTTTTCTTTTTCTATTTCTTCTTGTCTCAACGTATTTGTGGACATGCGTACTTGTACATGTGTTATAGACTACAGGCCCGACCTAAAAAATCGATGGGTCATCTGATCCCCCAGGAAACCTATATCGGACGATATAGGGGCATAAAATAATAACATTCAGCACTATGCCGTCACTTGAAAGCTGTCCAACTGAGTGCAGGTAAGAATTAAAAAGCACAAAATAACCGGGTGCTTTTTTATCAAATAATTTTGTACGGCATTTTTACCACGTATAGATCCATCGAAAATAATTTAAAAACACGTAGTGCCGTTAAAAAATAGTAAGCCGCAAAGTCGGAAAAAATTTTTGATTTTCTGAAAAAACCCCAGGTCTATTAAATCATTTGATTTTGAACGGCATTGGTTTCATACAATTTTAATACCTATTCTAATTGATTATTTTGCAACACTGTACAAAAATCATGCAACAAGGGAGAAAAATCAAGGGTTCAAATCCACCTTTTTCCATGGGTCCGGGGGGTGATCTGCATGATTTTGCATGATTTTTCGGCTTTGTGGCCTATTATTTTTAAACGGCACTACGTGTTTTCTCATTATTTTCGATGGATCTATCGGTGGTAAGAATGCCGTACAAAATCATTTGATAAAAAAGTACCCGTTTATTTTGTGCTTTTTAATTCTCACCTGCACTCAGTTGGACAGCTTACAAATAACGGCATAGTGCTAAAAATTATTATTTTATGCCCCTATATCGTCCCATATAGGTTTCCTGGGGGATCAGATGACCCATCGATTTTTTAGGTCGGGCCTGTAGTCTGTAACGCGTTTTTGTATGCGTGACTCGTAGTAAAAAAGTACAGGTCAATGGTGTATAGCACGAAACGTAACAAGAAACCAAAGCTTTCATGTTCTAGAGAAGATCCTTTTACTCGTACATATACATACGTACTTCAATCACCATTCTGTCTCGTTTGAAACAATTCATTTTTTATAAGAAGTTCATATTCAGCGAGGATATTTATAGTAAAACATGCAAAACATTTTTTTTCTGCACGCTTTTTTTAATTGATAATTCTCGATATTGTTAAAAATAAATTTTTTGATATCTTTCTTCCTTCCAATTCCCGCTCCATAAAAGCATATTTTATTTACAATAGTTTAACTCTCAACGGACGTGTTTTTAACGCAAAAAAAAATCGGTGATACTGTTATTGATCGAAGTGTGAAAAATAACGTCATCAATCCAAGAATATCAATCATTCATTATTCGTTTGGTTTGAGGCGTCAAATACATCTAACAGAATTTTTAAAATGTTCTTGATAATCTATTTTAATTATTAACGCATCGAGTTTATCCTATTCGTTAATTTGGTATTTAATATTTTATTAAGAAAACATATTTAAATATTATACGAATAACTCTGGTATATTTGAAAATTAGAAATTGATATTTTGAAAGAATTCGTAAATTGATATAAATGTGACCGTTAAATAGCAATAATTCCATCAATTCGTTCATTTGTAATTATTCGAGGAAAATTCCTTATAATTAACGAGTTCTAATTAAGTTTAGTTTCTCTAATAACGTACGATTAGTTAATATTAGATGAAAGTTCGTATAGCATCGTAGTTTAATAAATGTAATATTAACGAAAATTAGAATTAGCAGAAAAATTATTGTCATTCTGGTATCCTTTAAATCCTATTTGGTGTTTTCAAAAAGCATTTAAAAAACAAAAAATCTATGTGCAGATCACACGTGTTAGAAGTGAAACCTTCAAAAATCTAAGTTTCGAGAGAATGAGACGAATGCAGAGTATCAACAGTAAGA